CTTTGGCAAAGGGGGAATGTGCAACCAAGCCTACATCTCAGAAGTTTGCTGCTAGCCACAGGAACACATCTTAGTTAATGGTTTTAGTGCTTTTCTAAATATGGAAAGACGCAAGAACCCAGGTTCATAAAAAATTTCTCCTGAAAATATCTAACTACCTAAAGGCTAATTCTGCCAGTTTTCCCAGATCATAAAGGGCCTCAATCCGGATCTCCACCCTGAACTCCTTTCAGAGTCTATTAAAAGTCAGCAGCTGCAATTCTAAGGATTCAATCCCTGTAGTACCACATGGCTAGCAGCATTCTTTAGTTGGCACCTCTGAATTATTTTCCAATTTTCAGGAGTCTAAATATCTACCTATTCATGGAACCACATAGAAAAAGCAAGTGATTGTCACAGTACACTAAAGATAATCTGAAAAGTTTGCAAACACAGGGAAAATGGTATATTCTTTTTTCAGATTAATAATTGGACCCATTGCTTCAAGTTATTTTACCTAAAAGTTGAGGGAAAACATATTGAATGTATAATTTGAAAATGTAGCCAATATATTGTTTGGAAAATAAGTCAGTCCTATGTTTCTGACCTTTTGGATGCTCTGTGCAGTGTTGTCTTTAACACTAGATGGAGTATCCAAAACTGAGCGGCCTAAATGTTCAATAAGGAATTGTCAGTACATAAATTATCCATAATAAAAATGATGGTATTAAATATACTTATTGACCAGAAAAGGAATTCAGGATATATTTTTAAATGAGAAGAAAAAATTAGATTATAAGCTATTAGATAAATTATTTTTATAAAATATGAGCTATTTTTATGGTTATTGCGCTCTCTCTCTCTATATATATATATGTATACAAAAATCTGAAAGGCTATACATAATTGTGTTTATAGTGCAACTATCCTTCTTGTCTTATCCATAGTTTGTAACATTTCAACAATAAGAATGGATAATTCAAAAGATGGGGTAGAATGGCTTACTCAAAATCCAAAACAAATACTGACCAAGCATATTTAAACAATAAAGTCAGTGAAATGAAAAAGAAACTAAAGATTGTAAAAAAAAAAAAAAACAAAAACACACATAACTGTTTATTTCAAATGATTTTCTGCCACCCTGTGGAGAATATTACACATTGCAGGACATGGAACTGAAAAATCTGTTAATTGAAGATGAAATTATTTTCTAAGGAGCATCGTCCAAGAAGTTGTTTAAAGCTCTATTAGTTGATCAATTTTATTTTTGTTGTTGTTCACTCTGCCAGCAACTTAACAAACTGATAGGAAAATAATACCTAACACATATTCAATTACAACATACCATACACTGTTCTAATATACATATGGCTTTATCTCACAAAATCCTATGAAGTATTACTTATTCCCCATTTTATAGATGAGACACACAGAGTTTAAACCCCCTGCCAGCTGTGAGTAAATGTTTCCAAAGCAGTGTAAACCCAGGAACTGCATTTTGGGTCAATGACTTAAAATTTTGAGCTTTTCAGTTCCCCTCAAGCCCCACCATTCCATAGTGTACCACCCAAATTGTTGACTACTGGGCCTTTGCAGGGATTTAGGGTTTGGGATTTGAGAAGGGTCATTACATTCTCCAAGCTAATCTAAATTCACTGAAGCTATAGAGCAGTGTTGCTACTCAGGCCACAGTGAGACAAATAGTACAGAGACTGAGAATAAATGTTTAGAAAACTTTATAGCAACTTGGTAGGTAATTTTATGGCCGTTGACTCTAATGATGAAATTTTCCTGATACTTTTATCTTACTAAAGCATGGTCCACAACTAAATAAGTTGATCATTCTCTGAATATAGTTTTGTAAGCAGATAGGGTAGTGGGTCCTCGGAGGAAAGGAACTAGATACAGCGTTTTAACATAAGAGAAGCCATTATAGGCCAATGCCATTTTGTGATCCAACCCTGACCACAGTGCTTGCCTTTAAATGGCTGTCAGTAATAAGGATCTTTTTTCTTTTTATTGGTTTTAAATTATTTTTGTTTGTTTTTTAAATCACTTTTTAAAATTTAGTTTTTTAATTGGAGTATAATTGCTTTGCAATGTTTTCATTTCTGCTATATAGCAACATGCATCAGCCATAAGTGTACATACATCCTTCCCTGTTGGGCCTCCCTACCACCCATCTCGCCCCTAAGCCATCCACCTAGGTGTTCACAAAGCACAGAGCTGAGCTCCCTGTGCTACTTGGCAGCTTCCCACTGGCTACCTGTTTCACACATGGTGGTGTATATATGTCAATAAGAAAGTAGCACTGACATATATACATTACCATGAGTAATAAGGATCTTAAAGAAAGAGAATGACAAATGACTGGTATCTGGCAAAAGATGAAACAATAGCAAAGACAGTTGTAAAGACGCCCAGTTCTGTTTCAGTGGTTAAAATTAACCTGAACACTCAACCACCAGATCAATGGGAACCTAAGAAATGATGATATTGTCCTTTTCTCACCATCAAATGACTTCAGTCAACTAAAACTTGGACTCTGTCAAACTTTGGCCCAATTCTATGTTGCAGTATAGTCTGCTCAAGCCCCTTCATGCATATTGGCTTACAACTTCCTATATTTCTCTGTTTGTAAGGCACTATTTTGGGAAAGATTCCCTAGCATACTCCTTGCTTGGTGCAAGAAATCATTCCCGATCTTTAGCTTGGTTATCTTTTGGCTCAATCCCCACAAAGAGGTGAACCCAGTTTTCTGGTAACAATTTGAGAAGCACTGTTATAAAGCTGTTCGCCCAGGACAATTTTACCAAACTCTAAGGGTTTTTCTGAGGTTTGTTGTTGTTTAGTTGCTAAGTCATGTCTGACTTTTTTGCAACCCCATCGAGTACAGCACGCCAGGCTTCCCTGTCCATCACCAACTCCTGGACTTGCTCAAATTCATGTCCATCGAGTCGATGATGCCATCCAACCATCTCATTCTCTATTGTTCCCTTCTCCTCTGGCCCTCAATCTTTCCCTGTATCAGGATCTTTTCCAATGAGTCAGCTCTTTGTATCAGGTAGCCATAGTATTGGAGCTTCAGCTTCACCATCAGTTCCTGTAATGAATATTCAGAGTTGATTTCCTTTAGGATTGACTAGTCTGATCTTGCTATTTCAGGAACTCTCAAAAGTCTTCTTCAGCACCACAATTCTTCAGCACTCATTCTTCTTTATGGTCCAACTCTCACATCCATACATGACTACTGGAAAAACCATGGCTTTGAATACAGACCTTTGTCAGAAAAGTGATGTCTCTGCTTTTTAATATGCTGTCTAGGTTTGTCATAGCTTTTCTTCCAAGGAGTAAGCATCTTTTAATTTCATGGCTGCACTCACCATCTGCAGTGATTTTGGAGCCCAGGAAAATTCGCTGTCACTGTTTCCATTTTTCCCCCATCTATGGATCGGATACCATGATCTTAGCTTTTTGAATGCTGAGTTTTAAGCCAGCTTTTTCACCTCTTCTTTCACCCTCATCAAGAGCCTTTTTAGTTCCTCTTCGCTTTCTGCCATTAGGGTGGTATCATCTGGGTATCTAAGGTTGTTGATATTTCTCCCCACAATCTTGATTCCAGCTTATGAGTCATCTAGCTCAATATTTTGCATGCTGTACTCTGCATATAAGTTAAATAAGCAGGGTGACAATATGCAGCCTTAACATACTCCTTTCTCAATTTTGAACCAGTCTGTTGTTCCATGTCCAGTTCTAAATGTTGCTTCCTGACCTGCATACAGATTTCTCAAGAGGCAGGTCAGATGGTTTGGTATTCCTATCTCTTTAAGAATTTTCCAGTTTATTATGATCTACACAGTCAAAGGCTTTAGCATAGCCAGTGAAGCAGAAGTAGATGTTTTTCTGGAATTCTCTTGCTTTTTCTATGATCCAATGGATGTTGGCAATTTGATCTCTGGTTCCTCTACCTTTTCTAAATCCATCTTGTACATCTGGAAGTTCTTGGTTCACGGGCTATTGAGGCCTAGTTTGAAGAATTTTGAGCATGACTTTGCTAGCATGTGAAATGAGCGCAATTGTATGGTGATTTGAACATTCTTTGGCATTGCTCTTCTTCAGGATTGGAATGAAAACTGACCTTTTTCAGTCTTGTGGCCACTGCTGAGTTTTCCAAATTTGCTGGCATATTGAGTGTAGCAAGCACTTTAACAGCATCATCATTTAGGATTTGAAATAGCTCAGCTGGAATTCCATCACTTCCACTAGTTTTGGTTGTAATAATGCTTCCTAAGACCCACTTGGTTTTTCCAGTGGTCATGTATGGATGTGAGAGTTGGACTGTGAAGAAAGCTGAGTGCCGAAAAATTGATGCTTTTAACTATGGTGTTGGAGAAGACTCTTGAGAGTCCCTTGGACTGCAAGGAGATCCAACCAGTCCATCCTAAAGGA